GTCAGTAAGTTAGCCTCTCACATATTTTATTTTGGCCTTGACTTCCTCTATGTCAAAATTATTTATTTCCATCGCTAATTATTTTTAGTGCTGACGTTCGCATTTGTTTGTTTTGTAAGAACTTATAATGTACCATAAACATCCATGTTTTCTATACAAGTGCACAAATTTGACCGTGTAATGGCGGTGTAAGTATATCCACTACCCCAAATGATCCCGTGGCATCGTAAAAGGCGACAGAGGGAAACAGATCAGTAGATAGGCAGCAGCGACTTCCTAATAAGGACTAAAAATAAAAAACTGCGGTTGCCAATCCGCTTGCCAAGCGTGGCAACTATGGCAAATATCTCCCCTATAAGGAAATGTATGGGGTAGGCCTATTTTCAGCAAAGGACTTTAATAGGCCGTTACGATAATGGGCACAAATTTCACAGTTTATCTTCAATTAATAAAACTGGCAGCGACTGCCTGAACGCGTCCAGACAAATTCCAATCGCACTGGACTGACTTGAGCGGCGTGATGGGGACAGTTACTGGGCCCGAAAATAGAACGGGTGGCTAGTCACTTGCGAGTAGACCTTGCATTCGAATATTCGAATAATTCGAATAATATACCTTATCCAAATATTCGAATATTAAATCTGCTATATTCGAATATTCGACCAATTTTCTGAAAGTCAAATTCGTAATATTTGATGTACACAAAATATTACCTTTAAAGTTCACGCGTGACATTTCGAAGGCTGGATTTATTATAGAGTTAAATGGACTCATTTTTCTTCGTAATTGTACAAGTCTAACAAAGCTTGCCATCAGTTAAGCACTAAACGCTTGGCCTCGACCGACGATCAGGACGTACGGTCAGCTCGTACGGTACGTGCTGACCGTCGGTCGAGCACTAAATCCAGCCTTAGGGCGCGCCGCGCCAGTGTTTCGCCCGACCCGACAGGGTTCGTCAAAGCTTGGAAGCGATCGAAAACTCGAGAAATAGTGCGGCGGTGTTGATAGTTTGGCGCCTTTGTTCGTCCATTTGCATATTGCGCGCGGGTAGTGCGGATGGCGGAGCGTGGTTATAATTTTTTGTTGTTTGTTATCGAGATTTTAGTATTTTTGAGTGACTTTTGTGAGTTAAATTTTTTGAAGTCACCCACCAGTAAAGAGATTCTGGATAACTATCTTGAAGAAGAACAAAATAAAATGGGTTTGATCCTAGACTGTAAAACTAGGTGGAGCAGTTTAGCCGATATGATCACAAGATTTTTGGGATTAAAAGACCCTATATTGAATACTCTTATTAATTTAAAGTACGATACCTTCTTTAAATATTGTAAAGGCAACAGTAGAGGCGCTGTGCCAAGAAAATGCAAATCTGCTTACTGCGGAAACAGCCCTTCAATTTATGGTTGCGAAACTTGAAAAGACAAACGGTTTTATCAGCGACAGGCTACTCAAAGCGGTGAAGAATAGAATTGCAGAATGGAATTGCAGAGACGCCTACCAAATTTAATCTGCACATTAAAATATCTCCACAATCCCAGTAAATATTACGCAGAGCCACCTTCGTCTACCTTTCCATCACCAGGCAATAACATTATTACAGAAGTAATAACTGAGATCAACGGCAACGCCAACATGAACAACAAAACGAATCACACCAGGAAACATCTAAAATGACCTTTAAAGAAGAGTTACAAAAAATGATAAATGACACTGATTCCGCCACTCCTTCGACGTCTACAGCAAATTTATCAGATAGAGAAGAGTTAGAAACGTCAGTACGAATGCAGATGGCGGTATTTGACAGAGGAAGTCCTAGACAAGTACATTTGAGCCAAGCGTATGACTTCCTCATGTGTATACCACCTACAAGTGTAGGGCGTGAAAGGGTGTTTTCATCAGCAAAATACATTTTTGTAACCATTTGAGATGTTCTTTAAAAGATGATTCCCTAGACGCACTAAATTTTCTTAGGTCCCACTTCCAAGGAAAACGTTGAAGATTTATTTTTATTGTAGGATAGGCTTGCAATTGACGACAATCATGCTTAGAAGAAAGCAGTAATGACGTCTAGGTTGGAATGCGCTTGCTTAGAAGATACCTATTCACTCTTGCTTTGAAGGTACTTGAGTTGTACGTGTAGTAAGTGTAAGAATAAGCCAAAGTAAGATGATAAGATTAAAACGTATTTTATTTTTGTACAATGTAGCGTTGATCTGATTCTGATCTCATAAATTCTAATACTGATTAATAATTTGTATTCTATCACAGTTGAAAATCTTTCTTTTAAAATTTTTAAGTTTTGTAAGTAAGCAATATGTAAGTTTGTTATGTGCATCATGTGCGACAGTACGAAATACCAACAATAATGTTAAGAATTTAGTATGTACTTTATTTCTAATTACATAAAAGATTTTAAGCATGTTGTATTTGTAGTTGACTATTTGTTTTTATTATTATATAATTATTATTACAATACCCAGATCTCGATTTATAAGACTGTTGTGGTTGTCTTGTTAAGCACCAACTTTTTATAGTTTTTTGTAGAACTGCATTAGTTCCTTAACAGTGAAATTCCAAACAGTTCTTTAATTTTTAACTAAGATTTTGTTTTGATTGAGAGAAATTAGACTCTAAGTAAGAAATTGGCTATTAAAAACATGATTATTATAACAACTTTTGTTTTTTTTTAATTCGATTAATACCCGAAAAAAGTCGAATATTAGAATACCATAAATTTTCGAATATTTGCAAGGCCTACTTGCGAGCCGCGAAGTCAGCACTGGACTGTACTGTACTGCCACCGTGTAAACCAGGCTTTAGGTGATAAAAGGCCTATACTAACTACCAGTAAGGTCAGAAAGAACATTTTTTTCGGTTTTTCCGTGTTTTTTTTTTCTTTTGTTTTTAAGTACTTACACTGCAAGACAAAACAGACTAGACCGAACTCACACATATGCACTAAGCACGCGTAGCGTGGCTTTTCCGTGCTCTGTGATCAGAAGCGTGCAGGAATCAATTGTTTTATGGTAATAATTTGAACTAAGGGTCAATTGAAAATAAAATGGAAACAACCCATTTTAATTGGACTCGATCGATATTGTTAACTAACATCGTATATTTGTATATTGAGATAATTTCCACGATTTTACTAAAATTTTGTTAACTCGAAATTTAACTATTTATTATGGTTAGAATCAGCCATAAGCTATACTTTGACTTATGGCTAGTCGAATGATATTCCAAAGGTCTGTGAAATCAGATAACATGCACTAGAGAAGCGCGGCGCTGCAGACTCATTGCTCCGTAATCCCTTCCAGAATCCTCCGAGAAATGAGGGGAGGCTTTCGGCCCATCAGTGGGCCGTATATACAATTCTAATCCGAGGCAAGTTTTACGATGGAACGAGATCTTAGCATAGAGATCTTAGCACCCCTCTCGCTTGTCGCATTAATTATACCAGTTGTGCGTGCATGCATGGAACTTGGAAGATCTCGATAACATCTTCAAATTTGTCGGTCGAAAAGAGTCATGCTCGCGCGCACTTCATCAAATATGGTCATTCACTAGCCGTACTAATCACACGCTCGCAATTAAAGTGTCGAAAAAAATATTTTACAGGCATTTACATTTGGTTTAAGTAATGACTGGGCGACAGCAGGGGAGGAATTGAGTGACTTTGTAGTCAAGATTGGTATGTCGGTAAAATATTGTTCAAAAGCCGTTGCAACGTCTTGATCTGATTTTGTTAAATTATTTTTAAAATTAAATTGAAAGTTTGAGTTGTGTAGTTTCATCTTGCCAGTTTCGTATTGATTATACTCCCAAGTATTTTTAATTTTATTAGAGGCATTCTTAATTTTGTTCCTTAAATGAAAAGACTTGGCTGTGGAATACACTCTTTTAAATATTATGGAATATTTTCTTACATATTCTCTAAATGAAACACTATGATTATATGATCTTTCATTGTAAAGGTCATAATATTCTGTCTATGATCTAACATAATTTCTCGTCGCGATGACTACGTTGTGATTTAGTGTATGACCTTTCAATTGGGTGATTGTGGAACTTTAGTGCACTAAATTCAATTATGGGTAATCCTCTGTAGAGATGTGACGACGCTTATTTATAAGTAACTTCTATTGTAGCCCGAATTCAATTCCTGGACGATTTATTTTTACATTCATATTGGCCTACATCTCTCTTTCGTACGATGTTATGCTATATTTTTGTCAATTGTCAACCGAATTCAATTGTTCTTTTTTTATTAAATAGATTAACTTTAGGGATGGTCCTGTGCAAATTTGGAGGAAAAATCCACCCCTAAGGGAGGAAGAATAGGGGACGACATCTGGGCAAAAAAATTACACTTTTTCAGGCAACTAGCAATTTTAGACAGTTCTTAGTTTTCAAAACTCTTATTTTGTAGAAAAAAATATAATAACAATTTAGATAATAAAATAATGTTAATAATTCCCTAAAACCTTTAAAGTGGCCTATTTGAAAACTGAGATTACATTTTCTAAAATTATTTAGAGCTAATTTTAATAACTCCAGTACAAATCTCATAAATATATATTTTCATATTTCATATTATACTTCATAATATTAATTTTCTTTTATATAGGATAGGGTCACAAACGAGCACATAGTCCACCTGATGGTAAGTGGTTGCTGTGGACCATAGACATCTACATCTATCCTCGTTTGCGAATCAAAATGCAGATGCAATGTCACCCGTGAGGACTAAGATGGAATGCCTCTTTTCCCGCACACCATAGCAGTTTTAAGCTGCTATTTTACGCTGGTAATCTGTGTGAGTGTGGTCATTCCCCGGTCGAACTGACCTATTCGTGCTACAACTTTACCACTAATATAGCTGCAGCATGGCTCTACATGGTTTTTTATTTCCTAAAAATAAATGAATAATATACAATCTCTATTTCTTACGGAATCCATTCTTTGAATTAAATAAAACAAAAAATTGAGAAAATACATACCTATTTCCTCCTAAAAATTTTGGAAAATGTCTCTTGGGGAAGAACATTGCAAAAGCAGCCATGAATACCCATAGTATTGCCAGTTCATCCAGCAACTGACCTATAAGTACCAAAAATAAAAAATTACAACATTCAATGGTAAGTAAATAACTAAGGCTAGCTTTCCAAATAATTATGAATTAATGTGTATAATATCATATACAACCTACTTAAAGACCACTGTAGAACATAGGCCTCCCCTATAGATTGCTCCACATGACAAGTGCCATAGTTGTCACGCTCGGCAAGCGGTTTGCAACCACAGTCTTTTATTTTTAGTTGTTATTAGGAAGACACCCATTTCCTGATTTGCTTCCATCTGTCGCCTCATACGACACCCACGGGATGATATGGGCTAGTGGATATTTTTACACCGCCAATTTATTCACATGCTTTTTTATTTTTAATCAGCTTTTTTGTTTAAATTCCCTCTGTCATCTCTTATGACATCTAGGGGATGATATGGGATAGTAGATATTCTTACACCACCACTACATGGTTATAAGTAGAGATTAATATTCTCCAATCTCTCTTACATTTTAAAAATACTTATGATTCTAAAAAAGCTTTGCCTATAATTTTATTGATCCCATGACATGGTTATAAGTAGAGATTAATATTCTCCAATCTCTCTTACATTTTAAAAATACTTATGATTCTAAAAAAGCTTTGCCTATAATTTTATTGATCCCATGACATGGCTATAAGTAGAGATTAATATTCTCCAATCTCTCTTACATTTTAAAAATACTTATGATTCTAAAAAAGCTTTGCCTATAATTTTATTGATCCCATGACATGGCTATAAGTAGAGATTAATATTCTCCAATCTCTCTTACATTTTAAAAATACTTATGATTCTAAAAAAGCTTTGCCTATAATTTTATTGATCCCATGACATGGCTATAAGTAGAGATTAATATTCTCCAATCTCTCTTACATTTTAAAAATACTTATGATTCTAAAAAAGCTTTGCCTATAATTTTATTGATCCCATGACATTCAAGAATAGATTTAAGCTCGCTTTTCACTATGGGATATAATATATATTATATCTCGAAATATAAATTATATCCCGCAATTAGCTTTTACACTGTGAAATATATCTTTTAACCAGTGTGCATTCATCATTGGATTACATTTACACCGGACTCGTTGTTTACAAACAAAATTCCTTCAAACAAAATGGATATTATTTTGCTTGATAGCCTCGACAGTTCATCAGAGGGTGATGATGCAGAATTCGGTTTATGTGTGTTACTGTTGTTTTAATAAATCATATAAAGTTTAGAGAGGAATATGGTGAATTTAGATCTTTAATGAATTATGTTAAGAAAAGTTACGAATACAAATGAGTATACACACACTATGCAAAAGTTCATTCAGGTAATGACAGACGTAGAGGCGGCACGGAACGGTGTGCGGGGTACAGGGGGCGAAATATAATATGAAAATATCGCTCGGTCGATCAAAAAAATATTTATAGTATGATATGTAATATATATTACATCACAGTGTAAACGGTTCCATTTAAAAGTACGGTGAGCAATATTAATTTATATCTCAAGATATAATATATATACATTATATTATATATTACATTATATCCCACAGTGAAAAGCGAGCTTTAGTTAACACTCTTTTTTATGCATTTTTTTACAATTCTTATACAAAACTATCAAAATATATAATACATGCTTGTTATGATTTATTAAATAGTCAATTTTTAGTTGTTAAATTATTAATGTTGTTTCTATAATAAATAAAAATTAATATCTCAATTTACATTAACACTTAGGAAGTTAGGGTACTCGCTACCAGGTCCACTGGACCCAGTATAATATCATAAGCTTATTCCAAAACTGCTTTATAGACATAAATGGTTTGATATTTTGTAAAGAACAATATTATTGAATCAAATACACTAATATTTATTGTTTTACTTATACAAAAGCTGTTACAAAAAAGTACAAAATTTGTCCATAGTTTTGTGACAAGTTTTAGGTTTATCCTTATAATTTCTATAATTACTTATTTCAAACAAACACTTCTGTATTTTCTTTCACAATAATATACTTACTTATAGGAAATAAAGAGTGATCAATCATCGTAGAAAAATTAAAAAAAAAAATTCTACTGACACTTGAAAGGTACTAAGAGCGACAACGTAACAAATGTTGAATTTTAATAGTTATTAAGCAATATTTTAAGGGCTGGGTCTGTTTGACCCATTAGGGCTATCTTATGTGTTAAGCAAGTCAAAATACTATAGAATATTAAAATAAAGTAAATGAAGGAAAAATTACATATTAGATCTATTTTATTTAATAGATTGAAAATTGTTAACTTAACTTACCCACTAAACTTAAAGTAGCATGGAAATAAGCAGAGCTCAAGCCAACCACCATAAGTAGGACCCACAAGACATTTATAGCAGGATTGACAAACTTCGCATACTCTTGAAATAAGTGAATCAAAATGGGCGGAAATAAAAAAAATAGAATGTTGCTCACCTGAAACAAACAAGATGAAAAAGTGTAACACTTACCAAACATAGAAAGCCATTATTTAAAAAAATAAACTAAGTTACGGTGCATATATTTTAAAAATTAAAAAGGGAATTCAAAATAAATTTAAAATACATCGGACTACAACTTACGGTGTTTACAAATTCTGCTATTATTGGAGAAATTGAATAATTTGATTCACACCAATCTACGGGTGAACTTCCTCGTTGCAAATGAGACCACATTTTACGTTTTTAGATTTAGATTCTTTATCTTTGTTTTGCTTTGTTTATGACTGAGAAATAAATTTGATCGTCACTACAACCACAACAGAAAAGACAAGTCGTCAATTGCTATTATCATAAATTAAAGCTGAAATATTTATACTAGAATTATTTTCAACACTTTTCATAATATAGAAAAATTATTACAAAAATACTAATAAGTTTCCATTCGACTTTTTAATACACAGATATTTTACTTGAATTACGACAACCGAATGAAGTCTTTGTTATGAAACAACAAACAAACAACTTATAGTATTTTTGACAGTTGACAGCTGACAGTTGACAGCAACTGCTGTGTTACCAAAGTATGTTTACAAAACCTTCTGTGATTAAAATGGTAAGACTGTTGAATTTCTAATATGTTAACCCATAGTCTGCTGGCGGTCATTTTGCAAGAACGTCACGTCTGCTAGGGCCTTAGGAGGTAATTCACGCGAAATCGGCGCGTTAACCGCATGCATGTGGCGGCACTGTAATCCCGCCACATGCAACCACAACCACATGGAGTTTTGGTGCTACTCTGGCTGAACACGTTGCCCAATAGGACATCTCTCCTTTTTCTTCCGGTTTCTATAATTTGACAGATCTAAACTATTCGATGGACGTCAGAGATAGGGAGTAGAAACCTCCACTCATGTGAGCATGATAACAACTCGTTTGAACAGTATCCAAGTTAGGCGATTCTGCCAAATTCATTTAAAAGGTTACCGTGAAAGAATTTGTCATGTTTTTGTTTTTGTTAAGCTAACCAGTGTTAGATCGTGATGAGCAGTGTTGGTGTTGGTTACTTATTTCATTTATTTTAGTGTTTTTTTTTTTTATATTAACCTCAATCACGTTACAGTACATGTATGCTTGTGTTTTTTTTTTATAGAATAAGGATAACAAGCGAACACACAGCCCATGATGTGAAGGGATTGCTGTGGCCCATAGATATCTACATCTATCTTTTTTATAGGAGAGGGGCAAACGATCATGCGGCTCACCTGATGGTAAGTGACTACCACCACCCATGAACAACTGCAACACCAGGAGAATTGCAGATGTGTCGCCGGCCTTTAAAAAAGGAGTAGGCTCTTATAATCCTCGAATAAAAATCAAAATGCAGATGCGTTGTCACTCCTGAGGACTAAGATGAAATGCCTCGTACCCAGTAAAAAGGATCACCGTTTCTCTTCACTCACCATTTGAAACACAATAGCACTATGCTGCTATTTTGCGAGGGCGTGGTCCTACCCCAGTTGAACTGATTCATTTGTTCTACAATTATACCAGTAATATAGCTGCAACATGGCTTTAACACGTGCAAATTTGACTGGTTTTTGCAAAATATATACAACCAGCCAAATTTGTAGAGAAGGTTCAGAATAAGTAATACAGGCAAATTGTGAAGAAAAATTAATTTAAAAAATCTCAAACCTTTTGTCATTTTTATATTTTTAATTAAAATGCGTGGAAATGCATTATTTTAACTGATTTTACCTCGTATGCACACATTCGTAAACCATTATGCTCGGTAAAGTAAATTGTAGCGCGTTTTCCCGCGCTCTTCTACCATTAGAAAGTAAGTAACAATGTCTGTTAGCCCGGCTGACAGCTGACAGTGTTAACAGTGTTGACCGTGACCTCATTACGTACGCTTCGTTACCAATGACTTAACGAAAATATTCGAACCGCAGATACTATGAAACTGTTAAATAGTGCGATATTGCATTTTAATCAATGAAAGTTTATGTGACACATACAAAGATACTATAAGGAGTCTTTACCGCGGTGAGAAATTGGCGTAATTAATCTACCAATCGAATCAAACTATTCAAGTGAGTGATAACTTAAACAGTGGATCAGCAAGCTCGCCGGAACTTTCACTGTTAGTCTTTTATCTATGTATTGCTGCATGCATGGAAGTTAAAACTGCTCAAGAACAGGTAATTGTGTAAGGCGTAAGGTAAGTGTAAAAAATATTTTAAGAAAACGTGCTAGTCTATACAATATACGGACCGGCAAATTTGACCATTCGGCAATCTTCGGAAGCCCCCGGCTGCGCCGAAGCCCTCAACGCCGTCAAGCCTTTGAATTTACGTTGTGTATAAACGATTATTTAATATGTATTGGGATTACTTGCGTAATTTTGTTGTAAATAGTTTATCCCCCTAAAAATTGGAATCATAATTCGCATCATGTACTAGGCAAAAACTTGAGAAATGAAAACGTGAATTGAATCACACACACACACACACACACACGCACACACGCACATACGCACGCACGCACACACGCACACACACTAACACGCACACACACTAACACGCACAAACTCACACACGCACACACTAACACGCACACACACACACACACACGCACACACACACACACACACACACACACACACACGTTTAGACTACAGAGATAATTTTTTAAATATCTGTCTAATGATTTGGGATAATTAGAGAGATATTTAAAAAAAATCAAATAAAAGTAGAAGCCTTATTTACTTGTATTATCAAAAAATGTAATATGGGTATGTAATAATTTATTTATTTAAACTTCAATATAAAATTTGGCTACTCTTTGAAAAATAACCATGTATACTCGCTGTACTTAGGAACTTTGATAGCACGATTTAGGCTTCGGTGTGTAATGCATGCCGAACTACGCACTTGGAAGTGATACTGATGAGAACGATGGGCCGGAGCAAGTGCCAGAAGTCTGCTTTATAAATTTGCGGTGAATCAAGATGAAGACAAGTTGGACTGACTTGCGGGAACTGAAGACTGCAGAAGACGAGTCTTAAATGTGAATGGTAGGGGTTCTTGAGCATAATTAATGACGAAGGCTTGAAGTTGTAGCTTTTCCGAAGGTTATTGATTGCATGTTCACATCATGTCGGTTGGTCACCACTTAGGCCGTGGAAGTAAAAGGGGAGATCTTCCGGCGGTTAAGGTGATCGGCCGGGGAGCGGCCAATGCTCCATGTGATAGTTCGGAGCTGTTATATACATACACGCTGTACTTCGGAACTTCGATAGCGCGATTTAGGTTTTGGTGCGTTTCGCTTGTGGCGTGACGACAGCGCTGCCACAAATTAATTGCTACTCTGCTTATTTCAAAAGCGACGAGCATAATATTGTAATATACAGGGTTATTTTGCATTTTCCAGCCTAATTTGCAGAGAAGGTTCAGTATAAGTAATATAGACAAATGGTGTAGAAAAATTGATTAAAAAAAATCTCAAACATTCTATCATTATTATCTCTTAAATCCAAAATACGTGGTAATACATTATTTTAACTGACTTTCATTCATAAATATCTAACGTTTTCTATTTTATTCACGCACACATTCGTAAGGGTACCTTGTAGCGCATCTCCTCCGCTCTTTTTTTATTTACCGTTACATCGCTAAGTACCTGCGTCCGCTCGCCCAGCCAAGCCAACAGCTGGCAGTGTTGACCGTGACCTCATTACGTACGCTTTGTTACCAATCACGTAACAAATATATTCGAACTGTGGATACTATGAAATGGTGCAATATTACAGTGTTTACTATATTTGTAAAGACTTTAAAGAAAGGAATTAACGCACGTATACCACCAATTGGACAACAATTTTTGTAGCTGACCAAAGGCTGTTAGACTTTGGACAGTACATCACTCCGTCACATGGAAGTGCTCGAGGTGGTTATTTAGTAATAAGCTTGGCTGTCAAAAACACAGTGATCTAATCAAAGACTATAATATTATAGGGAAGATAGAGTTCAGAGTTAGCCAGTACTTGTGGATACTACTGAATTCTTCTGGATATCGCCCATTTCATTACCAACGTATATGAGCACTGAATAATAACGATGGTCCGTCTCGAAAACATTTTTGTGAATGGTTAGTTTCATTTTAAGTGATTGCATATTTAAGTAGTAAAATTATGATAATAAACATATTACGCTATTCTACGCCAAACGACGTACGCGCCTACGCGATGTTCGAGTCGGCTGAGGTGACAAACCTCTGCACTATTCGCACTGCCATATCTGCACTGCATTATCCTGCATATTAATCGGCCAGTACGGTTTTAAACTCCGCTAGGAGTAATAGTGTTCTGTGGTTTTAAAAGTCCTCAGTGCTAGACGCTACGTTCACGCCGTTTGATTAAGCGTTATTTAAATCCAAATGGCTACAGATTTCTTGCTACAACAGGTCCCATCCGCAGAGATCGTGATCCTTGGCGATTTTAACGCCCACCATGCCGAATGGCTCGGTTCACGTCTAACCGATCATGCGGGGAGATCTGTTTATGACTTTGCCTTGGCATATGGTCTGACACAACTGGTTACTTCGCCTACGCGGATTCCAGATGTGGAGGATCATACACCTTCCCTGTTGGACCTTCTGCTGACCTCTTATCCGGACGGATATCTGGTTTCCGTCGATGCCCCTCTCGGCTCTTCGGACCATTGTCTGATCCGGAGTGTGGTGCCACTCACGCTCCCTTCGCGGTTGCGTTCTGCAGGTTGCCGCCGTGTTTGGCATTACAGGTCGGCGGATTGGGACGGAATGCGGTCCTTCTTTGCATCCTACCCATGGGGGCGGGTTTGCTTCTCGCCGGATGATCCCAGCGCTGTTGCTGACTCTGTCACTGATGTGGTGCTACAGGGAATGGAACTATTTATTCCATCATCTGTGGTACCCATCGGAGGCAGATCTCAGCCTTGGTTTGGTCGCTCCTGTAAGACTGCACTACGCAGTAAGCAGGAGTGTTATCAAGCCTGGGCTGCGGCTTCGGCGACTCGGGATGTAAATACCAGCACACTTAAAAAGAAGTATAACTTCGCCTCCAGGTCCTTCAAAAGAGTTATTGCCAAGGCAAAGTCAGAGCACATAGGCAGAATTGGCGAGAAACTAGTTCGCCTTCCTTCGGGAACCCGTGCATTCTGGTCTCTCGCCAAGGCTGTCCAAGGGAATTT